CTTTTGGCATAAACGCACTCCTTTGTTTATGGCCCATGCTTTATAGTCTTACTTGAGAGCGACGCACGTTTAGTAGCGAGCGGAGGGTATGAAAGACAAAGTATTTATTACCCATGCAATTTTAATACCATGCTCAATAAAATTTAGAAGTGTTAGGTGTCGCGAGCAACATTATAAAGATAACCGATCAAAATAAAAAAAATATTACAGTAATTGTGATAATGAAATGCATATTAAAATTGACCGTGCACATAATTGTGTCAAGAAAAACAACATAACGATCGCATGGACGACAACTTAACAAAAAATTACGGTTTCGGGAGATATTTTTTTATAAAAGCTATTTTATACCCTGCACTTATCGATCAGCGCGCCTAAAAAAACTAAATAATGACAAAAAACACAAATAAGAGATTAATTACTCAGGAGTCCGGTGACAAAACGAAAACTCGAAAGGGTCTTAATCACGCCGATGACGAAGGTGGCATCAAAGGGGAAAAAAGGTGCAGGCAGGCGACGTAAATCAAACCGTAGTATGGGAGATGGAATAAAGGCGCGTGCACACTTGCTAAAGTTAAGTGATTGTGCCACTGAAACAGACCGAGGGATTTGACAAAAAGACCAAGAACTGGCATTAGTAAGCTAACAAAACTGTCACGAACAGTCGTATGGTTGTACAATCTATATTTATCAACGTTGAATTCAGTAATAAGTCCCAAAATAATACTTGTTTAATGATTATGGGTGGATTAAGTCCGCTCTTCCATACGTTTAGGTGATAGAAAAAAATCAAATAAGAAAATCGAACACTTACGTTTTCCCTTACTGCTTTGTAGTGTAAATCAGTCTTAGCTAATTTCGAGTCTGAAATAGGGTTAAGAATATGTTTATTGATTACACTTTATTATAAATAATTTATTTTATATGGCGTTATAAATGAAAATATTCTGAAGGTTGTGACAATTATAACCTTTACCGAATTTCGTGTCAAAAAAGTACTGCCCGTTATTACCTCCACAATTTCCAGAACTAGGTTACCCGGAGGGTCCTTGTTCCATCAATATTTGTAATATTTTAGAGTCCTCTATCTTTTTCCGTCTCGACTTGATTTGAATTCTTCGCTCTGCCAATGCAAAGCACTAAGACTTAATTTGCGTTGACATATCGGCTCCTCACACTTCGGTCAGGTTCGGGGCGGGATTAGAGGCGGAAGGTAATTAAAAGTAGCAACAGTGACTCTAAGACTTTTTATTTTTGTATAAAATTTAAGTCCGTTGGGGATACGCCACACACGTTTTTATCACAATTATATTCTCGGCTCATTATTGCAATTGGTGGACAAGAGGGGTGATTCTGTTTTCACTCAAAAGATAAGTATAACTAATCAGCAAGATAATGTATCTAGCGTTCTTGGTGCGTTGCAGCGAAAGCTATGTCGTGTGTTTTTATATTATACTAAATCCACATCAGTCAAATTCCAACTCTAACGCCCGGTTCCGAAACACTGATCATCGTAGATGTCAACTAATCAGCTGTCAAATGGCTTTTCAAATGTCATTTGAGTGGCCAAAAGGAAAGTTAAACTCTTTAAATTTAAAGAATTGATCATTCTAATCATTAAGAAGATCATTCTGGTCAATTATGAGAGTTTAACCATCCTATTAGCAACTAAAATGATATGTGAAAAGCCATTTGGCAGCTGATTAGTTCACATCTACGATGATCAGTGTTTCAGAAACCGGGCCTAAGCTGCCACCTGTCTTTACGGACAATGAATAATTATTTACTAGTTTCTAAAAATAAAAAAAAAAAACGTTACTTTACACACATACTATACGATAGTTAAAAATGCACAAGACCTTACATTCGGTTATCGAGTGCTCATGATCATGGTGAAGGTACTAGGCCATTGTCAAGATATAAACTATGGAACCGCTTGTCCGCCGCCATCCCGCAGAAAATAAAAAAAAAACGTTTCAAAAATCAGTAGCGTTGAACAAAAGCGTGTGCACCGAGCCTTAGAAGGAGTCGGGTGCAACTGTCGTGGAGTAGCTCGTATATCATAGGAAAGGGGGATGTCTGCGGTGAGCGTCCCAACTCGGCCCGGTTATCTGTGCTTACAAGCGGAATGGATAAGAACATTCCCCTAATACTACTTCTACTTCTACCACTAAAATACCGGTAAAAGGTTTTTCACACCGGTTATGTACCTATTTGTCAGGACACGCCGTAAAGAGTTTATCGTGCTATTCATGGAGGCTTTGACGCGTCGGCACGCATTAGAAGTTTACGGAAGTCGTTTACTAACCGAGTAAAGGTTGTCCCAAAAATGCCTTCAGTGTTAACATGTTAATAACTAATGTCTTTATGTCGTTGAAGCGTCAATGTTGCGAACCCTGATATAAGAAGAAACTAATTAGGAAAAACTTAGTTAATAAGAGAATAAAAATGATTTATATATTATACTAAATAGCTTGTAATAAAATACTCGTACATAATTTTATTTAGCGATGGTAAGCCTTAATGTCACTGACTTCTTTTTGACCTGTGATATACATAGCTATCTCTACCCAAATGGGTCAAAAATTCAATACTAATTTTTATTTGAAAACTCCAAAGACTCGTAAATCCAAGACGACATAAGTCATCGTCATGTTTTTTTAATCTATATCCCTCATTTATCTTCCATTAAAATCAACCAAAAGAAAAAACTTTTTGAGTATTCAACTTGCAATAGCCATTACCATGTTTTCATAACTCTGAAACAACAATTTATAATATTCAACTTATGAATAGATGATAAAACTAGAGGAAGACCGAGAAAGATTTAGATGGACTGTGTGAAGAATTATGTCTTTATTAACATATCACGGGAATTTTCTGAATCGCATATCTTATTATCTGTTTCTTCAAAATAGACTTAGCACATTGCCATGGATGCCCACGCCACCCACGCTATCTATGTTGCAGCCACATCTCGTCACCAAGACGAACCACTCGATCACTAAGATGAACACGGAAGTTGTGCTTAGAGTACAATGTAAAGTACTACGGGCACAATACGAAAATACGGTTTGAGTTTGATGACGCCAGTATCCCTTAAGTGTCAGAAAATAATGCCGTCTCTATCATATTGTGAAATTTGACGCTAGAGTGCGAAATATGAAATAAATATCAGTGAAACGGTCATGATTCACTCATAGGATAGCACCTTAAAATTTGCAACACTTTTTTTATTACCGACTAGCGGATCTAACAGACGTTGACCTGTACACGGGACTTAAATGCGACAACAACGTATAAAAAAAAATGAATTATGATCTAAACCATTCTCGAATTGACCTGAAAGCACACACACACATAAAATACAGAAGAATTTTACATAAAATGTTGTTTTGCCATATAAATTTCTAGGGAATTTGTCAATTTGAACACATACAAAGAGAATTATCGGAACGCACACATATAGTTTGACAGACACAGACATAGTTGACAGGTACAGTTTGTATGGGAAAATATAATTGTTGTTATTTCGATTTTCCATAATTTCGCATCGTTGAAACCTTCCCTGGACAAACATTTTAAAACCCCAAATATTTTAAAACCAATATTGGCCAAATCGGTCCAGCCGTTCTCGAGTTTTAGCGAGACTAACGAACAGCAATTCATTTTTATATACATATAACTATATATGAGATATTTGACCAGCAATGGGCAGTATATATATAAAGTGACAGGCATATTGATTGTCTACGCCTTACCTCTTCGTTAACAGTTCAACTTCTGGTTTACTTAAAATTTATAAATAAAAGAGGCAGTGTACTTTAACACGCGTATTAACCAAACAGGATGCTGTGAAGGCTAAGTTATACTTCCAGACGGCCACAACGGATGACCTCGAATAAGTTAGTGTCTCGCGGAAACGTGCGAAATATTTCACCGTTAAGGAGGTCTATTTGCGAACTCGAGTTCTAAGCTATGCAGATGCGATAACGCGTCCATTCGAAGTGCTTCGTTTCTGCACCTTTCCTAAATTCTACGGTTAGTCAAATCACCTTACAGTTGGGAGTTTTGATGGGGAACAGTGTTTTAAAATGACGATGCGATCATTTATAAATGTATATATAATGATTTTTAAACGAGGTACATCCTTTGACATAATGTTAATTGAGCATTCCATAATTAAAAAAATATAATATTTTTTTAAATATGAATATCTATATTTTATATTAAATATAAAATATAAATATTTATTTTGACAAGAAATAACTAGAAAAATATCAATTCATACATTGTTTGTTAATCCCGTTAAGAGTGGTCACCCTATTGATAAGCAGTTTAGTAATTACGCGTTCAGCGAAAAGTTTTAGTGCTCGTGAATAGGCTATTGTATTGAGACGGTAAGGCAGGAAATTCTTAAGATATTCATAATGTTTGAAAAAATTTAAAATAACCTTGGACAAAAAATTTGTTCACAAGTACGTACCAGATTCAGATGTAGAATCAAATTCTGCACATGCTCTGTTAATGTGTCCGTCGTCTACAAAATCACCCTGTATAGTCAAGTAATTTCTTGTATTTACGCGATTATACATCACTAAATAAAACTAGCCCGAGCCGGAACAATTACCTGTGGGACAAACACTTGTCTCGTGTGGGAATCGAACCCATGACCCCAGCGCCGAAGTGACTGCGCCACCGACTCGACAAAAACATATATTTTTTTCAAACGTAACGTTTTTTCATTCGTGATTTTTTTGAATAATTTGCAACACGTTCTGTGGACAGACTGCGTTGTTTTTCCACCCAATGTCATAGTGAACCCGCGCTATTGTTAACATGTTAATTAAGTTCGTAAAATAGCTTTTGTCGTCACAAATTTCTCGAAGCACCGAGTACACATTACACAGCCTGTTCCACACACGTTTGGATACCGGCGTGGATTTTGTCAAGCGAAAGCCGTCGTTGCTACTCGGTTGCAAGGAATGCGATAAACGTTACCCGTTCGATTCCGTCTCGCAGTTGATCGACCAACTTGGTGCCACCATCGAACCGGTTTCGAGCGCTATCCGCGGCACTGTGTTAACGCGCAAGCAAATGAGATCGCTTTTTCACCCTTCTACGGGCAGCCGAGATTATTCTGGTGCGCCGTTTCTCTTTCAAGTTTAACTTAGGGCTGCTAGTCAATAGATGAAGACGAAATTCATTTGATACGAGAACCGATATTCTAGTTATCAAGAATAAAGGCCCATTTACATAGTGTCAGTTTCTTGCCTGTAGTATACAATTAAATTGAATCAATAAATGAGTTGCATGGTCTAAACAACAAATGGTCTAAACAATTATTGCGCGCAATTTATTACATTCAATTATTGGTCTTGTATGTACAAGAAAATGGCATCGTGTACATGGGCCTTTACATTCAGAGATGTTTCTACATAATCAACGTAACAATTTTGAAATCATCAACCACTGCTGCAGATCACAACAGATTTGAGACTACATGCTTTTTTAGGTCGAAATGCTTGCCAATATAAAAATGGATACCACATTTGTACCTAATTTTTAAATACGTTTTATTGGTGACAACTGGTAACCCGAGATGATCGTGCGAACTTGCACGAACATCGAACACGGAAATGTTGACATATTACCTTAAATAAAAATAAAAATGCAAACATCATATATCGTATACATCATATTCGTATCCTATCATTAAAATCAATGCGCAGAGAAGCATATCATACCATCGGACATCTTTAGACTGTGGTAGGGCCACGGAGCAGTCTTTCCTGTTGCACGAATGGGCAGGCTCGTCCGGAAAAGTACCACGACGTGAAGTGGGAGCGTTATACTTATGATTAGTGAGGTAACCGGATCCAAATTTATTAAAAGGTGGCGACGCACCTGCAAGTGTTGCAGGTGTTATGGCTATCACTTTACATCAGGCGAACCTCCAGCTCGCTTGCCACTCACTGCAAAAAATTAGCTTGCCTTCGACAGCCCTGGTTTGTTTAGCTCGCCAAACCAGTCCGCGGAGTCGATTTCCACGGCGTTTCCCCGGCCTTGCGCCGCCCGACACGCGACCTAGCGGCCGGCTACTGCGGCTCGGACCCCTTAGCTCGTCGTGGACACTGAATAGACCCTCATACCGCACTCGGCGGGGACGACCACTCTTCGATCGGCCCGTCATCGCAATTAATTGGAGAACGTTGGCGCCACGGGCTTTGTCCGCATTAACAAGCCAGTTATGGCAACTTGTAGGTATTCAGTGAGTGATCAAATCGAGAACGCAATAATTGTTTGTCGCAGAAGAGAAAACGCATTACATTTCTATGTTCGCTATCATAATAGACTATAATACGCAGGATTTCGGCAACTTTTTGTGTCCTAGCCAAGCCAAGCTTATGACAAGTTGTCCCGTATAACAATAACAACGTGAATCATATTTCCATTGAAATGTTGCAGCAAAGAGAGATTTAACAAATTCAACTCGTAGGTACTATGAAACATATTATGAATAGGTATTGTATATTCAAGTTTCCAATTTCAAAGAATATTAAACGAGCATTTCAATCTTCTGTTATAGGCGCCTCATGCTTTAACGCACGCACGTAAACCGCAATTAAGTTGTAGTTTACATTAGAAATTGCGAAAGCACCGCGACGCTAAAGAAAGGGGCTAACGGCCCGACGATTCGTTTCAAGCGCACGTAATTGTTTGCGCGAACAGGCGTCCAAAGGCCCCTGTACACGTTGGGCCAATGCATTGGACCAATGTGTAGAGGGCTATTTTGCGAATCGTTTGTGGCAAATCGTAGTTGGCGCGAACGTTGGCCGGCAAGCGGAATTGTGTTGGTTTTTTGAGCACACATCGAAGGAGCGCCAATGCCCAACGAGCAGTACGCAAATATAAGAACTGTCCAATTGGCCCAATGCGTTGGCCCAATGGGTACAGGGGCCATAATACTCCGTCACAATAGCGTGCGCGTACAAGCTTCACTGTGGCGGGGTTCTTACGAGTTGTTTGAAACGCGTTAAATTTAATTGCGACTGTGATCAATTGTCGTGGGACTTTGTGCGAAGTTATCGACGGGCAGCGATCCTGTTATTGGGTCTAAATCACTAGTTAACTCTAACCGTGGACTCAAGCATGCTTACTGATATCTTAATGAGGATGGCGACAATAATAATACTAATCAAAATTTGATTAGTATTATTATTTACAAGATTTATTTATTTATTTATTTATAATTCATTGTTACACCTTAGACTAAAGGCTACAATGGGCGGACTTAATGCCTAGTGGCATTCTCTACCAGTCAACCCTTGTCATGGTGAGAAGTAGATGGCAGGTGCTAAAACTAAAGTATTAAAAGTAGGAAAATATATACATAAAAATCAAATTAAATATAATGTGTGGATATATACGAATATGTATATGAATATTATTAATCATAAACTACATATATATGACATACATGTATGGCTGAGTATATACATAAATATACACAATATATATATATATATATATACACACATAAATATTGTAGATGTACATATATGGATAATAAAAACCGAGCATGGGATAAGCCAAACAAAATCACTGATTTAATAGGTATTCTCGAACTAACTTTTTAAATATATATTTATTTGGAGCTATTTTGATCTTAACGGGAAGGGCGTTCCAGAGGAGTGTCGCTTGAACAGTAAAAGTAGAGTTAAAGTATCCCGTATTATGTTGCGGGATGCGAATCCTAAGTAGGTTAAAGGAACGAGGTACTCTGTCAGAAGTTGAGTAAAATAATTGGAATATTCCTGAGATATGTATGAGAATTAGGATTAGATAATACCGAATATAATAACAACAGAATACAATAACACAGATTTAGTATTATTTTAAACTTTTTAGTGCTTATAGAATTTTTTGAAGTCTGTTCTTTTTCGTTAAAAACTTTTTATTTTATGCGACGCAGTGGTCGCACTCTTGGGAAGTCGACGTCGACGATAATAGCTAATACTTCGCTGAAACTGGATATTTTAACGTAACGATACGAACTTTCATAAAGGCCTTGTTAAACATGCAACGTATCCATAACACGACGAATAGCCCTATAACCAATATAATAAATCTATAGTTTAACGGAAAATTGTTTATTGAACATATCGTAAGATAACAATTATTATGGTTAGGCAGTCAAACATAAAGTAGACATGTTAATGAATCTTGAATAGTTATTTTAAACGATAACTTTAAAAGTCATCATAATGCTTTCCTCAGTAAAATGAAAGTGCTTAAAATGTAGATATTAGGTACACATATTTTAAGCTTTTTTATGTGAACATTCGTCAAGCGAGCAAGCGGTTCACGTGATATTAAGTGATTACCACCGCCCATGGACATATACAATACCTGGGCGTTTGCAGATGCTTTGACAACCCTGAAAGCAGTGGGCTACCACAATCACACATAGACCATAGTACTTCCCCGGACGAGCCTGCCCATTCTTGCAACAGCACAAGCTGATTTTCTTTAAAGTTTTTTATAGTGCTAATCTCGGCACTTAAGATTAAACATTAAAACTTGTAGAAAAAGTACGAAAAAAATGTCGCCGCTGTGGGAATCGAACCCACGTCTTATTCCATTGTTTCTTACCATTTGAACAATGTAGATAAAAGAGGATAAGATTTTCGTAGGTGTGGCAATCAGCCGTTTAGCTGAGTCGTTAAAGCGTCAGGCCGCGAATGCCAAAGATGTTCGATTCCCACAGCGGCGACAATCTTTCGTACTTTTACTACAAATTTTAAAGCTGATGTTCTGTTAAATTGCCCTACCACAGAAGACTAAGAAAAGGCGAGTGTATTCTGTAGTAATTCGTGTCTTTGCGGCACGAAGGACTACCAGAAGACCTTGGGCAAACACTCGGACGACGAGAAGAATGTATAGAAGACTTGGACTAAAAACCTTAGAGTTACAACTCCTTAGGAAGCTTGGGTGATAGGATCGCGAAGAACGCTTGGATCTTACAGCATGGTTTGAGCAGCAACCACTCGAGTTTATGACACTAATTCACGATTACAAAACACATTTCATGACGCAAAATCCGTTATGAACTCCACGTTTAATTTTGTTTTTTTCATTTGCTAACAATTGTTAACAGATAAAATTACATTACAATTTTATACTTACTAAATACAATAAATTTTTAAATGGCATTAGAAGTTCACAAACGTTTTCATAAAGTTCTCTACTTCAAATATAAAGGTATATAAATGTTATTTTTTTTATTAAAATCAAAGTTTAACCGCGTCAATATAAAAAAGTTTCAATATTAAACAATGTTTTAATATTAAACAATGAAAAAACCACATTTGTTTTGCATTTAACTAATGTTGCATTGCATACGTTCGAGTGGTGTCCCATCGATTAAAACTTATACATACGTACATAACAAATTGAATACGATCAAAGCCGTAACATTAGTTTGACTCAATTCGAATGCATCGTTTGCACATGTTGACATGTTCACATGTAGCCGTTAGTCATAGCGCATGCGTTAGCTCTCAATTGACCTTGCGCCGTGTAACAATTGCGCGTCTCATGAGCTCTATTCAATGTTACGTGTCCAATGTACGTTTTGATTAGGCGGCCACATATATAAATAAATTAGGCATCCGATAGTTATTAGATGGTATGGTCAGGCAAAATATTTTAAGAGCAACTATATTGCAGCTTCAACAGCTATATTATTACTGTTTTCATTGACTGAATTAACGCAAATATAAATATAAAAAATATTTTTAAGGCTGACAAATGGCTTGTTATATCGGAGTGCGGCAGTCAGGGTCTTAAGTCTAATAAAAGAAAAAAATATTACATGATAATATCACATTCAAGTTCAATCAACAATAAATGTGACATTATATAATGTCTACTAAAATATCTTGTTATTTCTAATTTATTTAAATCATCGCTGACTTATATGTGGTGTCGTGTTAAATATATTGTATAATAATTTAAATTTTTAGTAATATAAATTCTCATAGCGGAATAGGTAAAAATAGACTCCCACCCATTATCGGAAGCCTTATTGCTACGCGGAAATAAAACTGAAAAATTCTTGCAGCTCGAGTTTATGCGTAACCCTTGCATCAAGTCAAAGCTGTTAATAGAGCGCAATCGGCAAGAATTGTTTGGACAATAAACTTCAATAACAGTGTTACGTGATCGCGGGAAGCGGTAAGATCTAGGTGAAATAGTTTAATAATCATTTCAACGACGTGGAAAAGCTAACTTCATGGAATAGGGGAAACAATATAACTTAATTATAATTTGTAACTTAATGACACTGTGGCAGAGCCACGCAACAGTGTTCTCGGGATGGCCATCCGGGTTAGTACCACGAATTCACAGAAGACCGGCGTGAAGTAGAAGATTACACTTCTGCGTTTCGTCTGTCGAGTGAAGTTAGCAACGCATCTACAACCCTAGTAATGACAGGGCCATTAGCCTTCACTGTTGCGCTAATGGGCAGGTCCGTCCGGGGGACCTCGACCTCACAGACGACCGGCGTGAAGTGTAACGCTTCAGCCCAGTCTTCTGTGAGGTCATTACACTTCTGCATTTCGTCCCGTGAGTGATGTATCCGGGGCCCACTTTATTAAAAGATGGAAACGCATCTGCAGCCCTATGGTTGTTGTAAATGTCCATGGGCGGCGGATAAAATCAGTGAACCGCCGTTCACTGATTTTATCCTTTTCACATAAAAAACGATTCATTACGAGCATAAAATAAATCAACACAACATAATCACAACTTGAATAGTATTATTTACAACTAAAAGTAGTTTTGTGTTTATTGAATATGTTTATAAAAAATTATATTAAAGTGACCTTTAATTATTAGAGTGATTTGTCTTTGAAATATAAATACCCTTAATAAAAGTTTACATACTTCAATTGAATTTCGAAATTTTGTACCTCCAATATCGAAAAGCCTCATATAATAAATCACTTTTATCGACGTCCCGTTCGACCATACAAATCTAGTACCAATTTAAGTGACGTGGGTAATTGAGTCGGCTGCAGATGTCGATGAGTCGATTGATTTTGAAAACAAGTACGATGGATTCTAATTACATTAAATCGATAAAGCTCTAATTCTAACGGGTACATCCTTGTTCGCGTATATACA